TGCTGTACTGAGGTAACATAGATTTAAGAAGATTTTCATAGTGATGAGATTAGCAAGAGAAACACAGCATCACGGTCATTATAGTCACTACCTGTTCCAGGCAAGCCAAGCAGGAGGAACTGGAAGACCTACATGTTGGCTCTACGTGGAAATGAAATGAGAATTAAAAGGGCTGTATTAATTTAAATTATTATATATGCCAGATGCCACATATAATAATGTTATAGCAACGTAAACCAAATATTCATGGACATGACATGTGTTCATGTACTTTGTCCAATATCCCATCCAAACCCACCTCAGCAGTTAGACCCAAATGCCAGTCACTGATCAGAGGGACAGATGGTAATTTTCATTTTGCAAGGATTAGCGTATTGGCAGCGGGCAAGGTTCAAAGACACTGTTTTCCTCGAGCTTTAGAAAAATATCCAGAAGCAGTAACGTTAGACTGTTTTTTCTGCTTGTGGCTTTGCACCATGCAATAGCCAAGTTACTGCAAAACAAATAGGCAGTGTCCTGTGAGCTGAGTTTTGCATCAATTCAGAAGCTCCCCATGCTTCTGTTAAGGTTGTCTGTGGGTATGTCAAGGGACTGTATAGGATCAGCCCACCTTGTTCCTCTGCTATGGATGAACACAGTCCTGATTTTCTGCTAGCAGACATGGGCTGGGTTTGTCTGTCTGGACCAAGACATTTATAGCACAGGCGCTCACCTTTCATCCTCAGCAGCTACGTGCCCTTTGCGGTCAGTCAAGAGCAACTGCTGCACCATTCCTTTGATGCACGTTATACATCTACTTTAAGATAGCACTTACGCTTCTCCAAACTCTGTGTTTTGAAGTGACAGTTTTTCAGAGTAGATACTTGCTGTTCCCCTTCAGTTTACAACTTTATACCAACAAACTGCCCGAACCACTCACCCCTTGTGGCATGCAGTCAGAAGTCACCAAGTCAGAAACTGGCAGCAGTGATAGAATACCACTGAAAACATCTGGCTTTGTCCTTTTATGAAGATGTTGCCATACAGTAAGGTCCTCACAAGTGCTTAGCATTTGGTCTCGTAAATGCCAGTTCTCCCCAATCCAGAGTGCATACCTGCACCACATAACGCAGCTCTGTTACAGACACCAGCTTCTTTGGCACCGGACTCAGTAGGTGCTGTACTGTTAGCCTCACATTTGAACAGGGTTGGCAAAAGGTTGGCAAACACAGGGATGCAGTTGTACAAGAAAAACCCTCAAATGATAAAACTAAGGCCTATTAATATCCACAGGGTTCTATCTCTGTTGGGAGTAATAGTATAATAACTGCCAAAACTCCCAGACTTCAGGAAGAAGAAATTGTAACCACCTTGAAGGAGGAAGTCTCAGTAATTCTGCTGTTTTAATATTCAGCACAGACAAGGTCACCCTTATTTGTATTTTGGCCAGTCGCAGTGCTGGGAGTGAGAAGGTCTTGGCACCTGAAACAGTGAAACAGCTCAGCATCATCAGTAAGAGACAAGCTGGGCTTTCACAAGCAACAAAAAACCCACCAAACCCCACCAAAGGAAGTAAACAAATAATGCAATGATTTGGGCTGAGAATGAGCCCTGAGGATCTCTGAGCGAGAGGCAGGAGCGGCAGCATCTGTTAAAAAGCTCCACAGACACGTTGGTGTCGGCACCTTCCAGACAGCTCAGGCTGGCCAAGGTGATCCCAGGACATGGCAAATTCAAAGGCTGTCAAGAGATCTTACAGTCCCAAGGCAAACAAGATGCTCTGCTGGACTCGGCCAAATTCCCAGTTAATCTAGATCAGCCGCAGATTTGGCAGAAGCATGTGGGTTTCTGTGAGCCTCCTTGTACAGACGGTGACGGAGAGACCAAGCACATCGTCACTGAGCCCCAGGCTGGTTTTGGCCTGACCACGGCGAGGACAGGCCCGCGTGCTCTCCGGGCAGGGCTGCCCTCCTGCCCCCAGCGCAAGCACACCACGCTCCGTCCCACCACGCAGCTCCCCTGAGCCCCGTCGCCAGCCCTGCACCCCTCTTCTGATGCTGCCGAAGCAGACGGAGGCCGCCGGGCCAGGCCGAGGGGCCACCGGGCCAGGCCAGGCCGAGGGGCCGCCGGGCCAGGCCGAGGGGCCGCCGGGCCGGGCCAGGCCGAGGGGCCGCCGGGCCAGGCCGAGGGGCCACCGGGCCGGGCCAGGCCGAGGGGCCACCGGGCCAGGCCAGGCCGAGGGGCCGCCGGGCCAGGCCGAGGGGCCGCCGGGCCAGGCCAGGCCGAGGGGCCGCCGGGCCAGGCCGAGGGGCCGCCGCCGCTCCGCGGGCAAATCCCCGGCAGGGAGAGCGCGGCCTGCCCGCCTGCGGCAGCTGGGCTGTGGGCTTTGTCCTCACTGCGGTCCCATGAACCCGAGGCGAGCGGGCAGCCGCGGCTGTGGAGCCCGGTCGGGGGCTGCCCCAGGGCAAGAGCCCCCACGGCAGGAGCCCAGGGCTGCCACGGGAGACTCCGTGGCCGTGGGGCGACCGGCTGGGCATTCGGGAGCAGCCGCCCCGGCCCCGGCCCCGGCCCTGCCAGGGAGGAGGCCCGGCAGGTCAGCACCCGGCTCTGGGCGGGTGTCGCCGCCGGCTTTTCTGATCACTGCGGGGGTCACCCGGCCTGCCGGCACCTCTCTCAGAGCCGGGACAGCATCTTTGCGCAAGAGGTAGCAGGGCTCATCGAAAGAGCTTTAAACTAGATTTGAAGGAGAGATGGGCAAAACCAGGCTCGCTAGAGATAAGCCTGGGGACAGCAGAGCACTGTTTGAGGGACAGTGTGCTAGCGAGTCCTGCAGTCTGCTCCATGATGTGCCAAGTACGCTGGAGCGCAGTGAAATATCTTTATGCTAACGCGTACAGCATGGCAAAACACGGCCAGCATGCCCAGAGGAGGGGTAGGTGCCCCATCCCTGGAAACATTCAAGGCCAGGCTGGACTAGATCAGAAACCTGATCGAGTTGAAGATGTCCCGGCTCATTGCAAGGCGGTTGGGCTTTAAAGGTCATATTATTCCATGGTTCTGTGAGGAATAAACAAGAGGAGCAAGAAGGTTTGGGCCAGTCCCAGAGCTACAAGGACTAGGCAGGGCTGGCAAGGCTGGGGGCACTGGGTGGAAGGCAGGGCTTGGACTGTGTGGCACTTGCCGTTGGTAACAACGTGGTTGAGAGCCTCTGGCTAAGGATGAAGGGGGTCTTTATCCTTATGGGTCCCCTCCAACTCAAGATGTTCTACGTTCTATGGAATACACAGAAATAATACAAAGATTGTGACATTGAATTACAACCCCAGTTGAAGGCAGATTTGTTCTCTGATGCCACTGAAGAGAGATATTATCTCAAGTTGTGCTGGCTATGAAGCAGAAAGCTACCATTAAATAAGCTCTATAAATCGAAAGGTACAGAAAATTGTTGTGCAATTACTTAAATACAGAAGCTTTGCATTTTACTTTGTGGCCCGTTCTTTCAGCCACATGAAGTCTTTCCAGAAATAAGACCCATCTTTTTAAATGAAAACAAACCTTTTTTTTCTTAAAGTGCTCTCAGAAACCTTCCAAATGAAGCCCAGCTATATCCAGTACTGCAGACCAACAAAGCCTAAAATAATAATTCTGAAACAAACTAGTTCTATTAATCAGAAGAGCATGTTTACTTCACAATTAAATTATGACAATTTAAATATTGATATTAGCTGTTTTGCCTGTGCATTTGTCATCAATATATTAGATACAAATATAATATTAAAACTGTTAAGAGTTTTGTAACTCTAATAGAGTAAAAAAAGTAAAAAGTAAAAAAAAAAGTAAAAAGAGTGTCCTATTTTGTCAGGGAAAAATAAAAATATCTAAAACACTGAGATCCTGTAAAAAACACTAACACGATGTAATGTCACATCAGGGGTGACATATGCGATTCACTGGGTAAGAGGACAAACATCTCCAGAATCCACTTGGATGCCATACAAACTCCGATGGCAGGTGATTGATGCCCACTCCAAGCGCTGACTCATATTTAACGGCTCAGTTTTTCTTTAGCATACACATTTATAATCCTGTAGAGCTATTATGAGCATGTAAGTAGAATGGTGAAGGCGAAAGCAGCCACATTTGCCTTTAAAACCAAGACTTGCTTATGACTACTCTGCCTCTCCTGCACAGCTGACTCTCTGCTGGAGACTCAGCAATCAGCTCCTCGCTCCTCCAAGAGAGCATTCCTGCCCAGGAAACGGTCCCTTCGGGCCACAAACGACTGCAGATGGATTTTGCTGAGACATTAGTATCTAAAGAACCAAGCTTTATATAGTACACCAATAAAAACTCACATCTTAAACCAAAAGCAGCATATAAAAGTGAATTCTCTAATACCGTGCCAAAGTGCAATGCGTGGGTGTAAAGCACTCATTTCATCAGCACTTTTCACACGTTGGCTCTGGCGCCAGCAGCCGCGCCAGGTTGCCATGAGCCGGCTGCCCCTGCGAGGCCACTGCTTTGGGAGACTGCAGCGGGAGGGGGCACGCAGGGACCGTGGGCCGCGCGCCTGGTAGAGGGATGAACATGAGTTCTGGAGACCAGCACGGGGCCATCGACACCCCGGGTGCTGGAGGGGAAGCCATGGCGCTCAGGTTTGTGCATCTCACCTGCAGCCCAAGGGACAAAGCCACCAGTCACAGCCGTGTGGTCCGCAAACGTCCTTTATCCCAGGTCGAAGGGGGACTGTGGCCACTGAAGCACAGCACACCAGGGTCACTTCGCCACCCCCGTGATGCAGCATGTGAGGGTGGTGAGCAGACAAGCTCTCACACCCTTAAAACCCAAAGCTCGTTTATCTTTTTGGTCTTGGCATACATTAGAAAAATGACATTGGTCTCCATCTTTAAGGCACATAATAATCATGACCCAGAGCACCCCAAAGATTCTCTGAACTTCCCAGCAGCCACACACTTCCAGGTCAATACAAAGGTCCCACAGAAAGTAATTTTTATTTTTACCTTGCAAATGTCTTCAGGAGGTTTGACTAAGTCTCAGCATGCTCCTGGAGTATCTAAGTGGCACAGGAGCACCCACCACTCTGCCATGAAACACAAGCCATGAAGCAGTCCCAGGCTTGTCATCACTGGTTCATTTTAACTGTAGGAATAAACCACACAACAAATATTAATATCTCTGCGTAAGCATTGCCACTCTGAAGAATGCTAATAATTACTACGACTGACATAATGCTATAGTGCTGGAGAAAGCAAACAGCCAGACTCACCTTCCTCACCAGTTAACACCCAACTGATGTTTAACCCCCTACCCACTTACGTGGTAATTAGACACCCTGCGTTGATTGAAAAGTAGGGTTGAGCACTTTTTTCATTGTTACTAAGTCAAATGATAGTTTTCCAACTGGCAATAACAATCCTTGCATTTCAACCTTAATCAGCAAGCATGGGTGGTTTTGTGTATGTGTGTATATGTAAAGGGAAAAAACCCTATGAATAAGAACTAAATTTTCTCCATTTATTAATTTATTGCTTCATCCTATTATTTCTGCATTCCCAGGTTAATCTAAGAACCTACAAAACTTATGCCACATTTGCAAAAAATGAAACTCTTTCTTTGAACTCTATTTCCAAAGTTTTCCCAGGAACACTTGCGTTACCTGATTTTCAGTGTGCATCTAACAGTGAGATTTAGTCACGTTTTAATCCGTTGCTGAAGAGGATTATGTATAGCATCCAACAAAAGCGGTAGCACTCCTGGGCTGCACGCGGTGGGAGCCAGGGGACAGCAGCCTAAGCCTCAGTTTCCTGTTGGCACCGGTTTGGCCCATGGTCGTCGGGCAGCGCTGCCCAGCAGCCGCTGTGGTGCCCCCCGTACCCCCATACACACACCCGCTGGCTCCCAGCACAGCAGCCGAGCCTGCACGCTTGCTCCTGCTGCTCCAGCACAAAGCCAGGCCACAAGTCATGTACAGGAGCCATCATACAAATTAACTCAGATGTTCAGGGGAAATAGTTATGATGCGAGCCGACCTCCACTAAAAATTATTTGCTCAGCTTGGGTAAAAGACCAGAGTAGTATTTTTAATTTTGTTTCAGCTACAACAGATTTATCAACAGTTGTGTATTTTCTAAGACTCCAGAGTTCTTACTTTATTCAGAGACAATCCTTTCTGTAATCATTCTTTACAATTAATAGGTAGCATATAAGATTATCATTAATGGGAAAAAAAAACAGTACACATACAGTAGCTGATGTAGCAGGGTACACATACAATAGCTGATGTAGCATGTGCCCCATCAGGGCCATGGAATACTTTCAGTCACTGGAGATGCAGCCAAGTAGGCTTACCCTATATTCATTATCTCCATAATATCTGTATCAGATCAATTTAAGGCAAGAGAAGAATTAGCAAATATAACAGGGAATCAGTCAGAGTTAATAGCCCCTGGGGAATTGTCTTTCCAAATGGCTCCTAGTAGGAGTCAAGACTGGTGAGATATGGGGCAAACCACCAAGAGTGTCTCAGGGAAATGATTTTAAGGAGGGGCTTTGGGAACACGGAGCTAGCTTCCTTATGGACTGTTTTCTATTCTTGCATTTCCTAAGGTGAGAAGAAAGCGGGGGGAAGGTGTCCCCAGGTGGTCCTCCCGGGCAGCTCTAATAGGTCCCCATCCTCCCCAGACAGAGATACCTCTGCCGGTGTCTCTCCCCAGTCCTGCGCAGTATGCAGTTCTTTCCTCTCTTCTTTTCACAAGACCTGGAAGTTAAAATTATTGCTAGGAAGCATATGTAAATAAAAAACAGGTTTAGCTGTTAGGGCCTGAAGCATCGAAGAGCCAGACTAGAAGTCCTTCAGGTCCCAGCATGGGGCTTCGAGCCATTCTTGTCTCGGAGGAGGCGTGATCCGAGAGTGGCATCTTTTTCAGGGCACTCTGCATGTGCCTCCCACGCTCCAGCTGCCACAATACAGATGCTGTTGTTACAGGCAGAGTTCAATCTGATCCTGAAAGAGAAACACGAATAAATGCTCCACGTGCCATATTTAATAAGAATTTAATTATGTTAGTGTTTTTTACCAATTATACATGTATTCTTCAAAACCCCTGTGCTATATATAATTGATGAAACTGATTCAAGGCAAACAACATAAATAATTTTTTACTATTTAAAAGTCTATTTCACTTTTCATATTTCCAGAAGGATGAGAACATTCACTTCATAGGAAAAAATGGCTTGACACTGACATAGTAAAACACAAATTGAATTTTTACATAGACACAAAGGGCATGTTAGAAGAAAAATACACAGGTCAGAAGTAGGAATGAATAAAGAATATACTTATTGGGCTACACTGATCTCTTGTGATCACTCTGACCTTGCAGCCACATCAGGAGTCCTTTTCACCTGGTGAATTTGTTTTCTTGTCTGTGACCGAAGAAACCTGAAGGAAGCAAGGAAGAGGAAACTTCTTAGGAAACTGAACTATCAGGGATTTTCTGGATCCCTCATTTGTTCATCGGGCCACAGTTATTTGTCTTTTAATTCACCTTTGTACTGTGTCGGCGTTAGAGTCTCGGGTCGAAAGGGTGGAGTCTGCTCCTAAGCCAGGAGAGGTTGCTCTGCCCGGTGCACACCGGGACCAGCCGAGGTACCACGGGGTAGTGGAGAGCAGCGGCCAGTTCACCAGGACGTGCCAGGCAGCCAGTGGAGGTTTGAACTTAAATATTTTCCTGGGTCAGGCTGCAGAATAGGCAGGAAAATCACTCAAAGGGTTTTGACGCGTTGGCTTGTAGCCTGGAGCATCCACAGAAGCGATGCCTGGGGAGGAGCCGAGGGTCAGCCAGCTGCCATCCCCAGGGCACAGCTCACCCCTCTGTGCCCCCCAGGAGCCACAGCCTGCTGGCTCGTTTACACCGAGGCAACCTGCATCACCTCCACTGCAAGAAAGGGCCTTAAAGAGGACAGGAGTGACATTTGCAAACTCCCAAATGTCCCTTTGTATTTCCAGAACAGTCAAAGGCAACTGCAGTATAAACAAGAACAAAATCTTTGAGGCTGGAAGTAAAGAGCAAGAGAAATTATTTTACCTAAAACAATGAAATTCCTCTCAAATTCAGTCCTTTCTCAGGTCTGTAAATTACAATAATCAGAAGGGGGAAAAAAAGGTCAAAGCTATTAGAAAATTTATTTCAGTGAGTAACAGCTTCTGACTTCTTGCAGCCTGATAAAAAGAAGAAAAAAAGAAATTGGGCCTATTTTCACATTGCCGTCCCTAGGTATCATTCCTGTGCATGTTCTCCATTAACATTTCACATCACTACAACTCTCAGCTTACCTCCCTCAACATAAAACAACATTTCTGCTTTGTCAGGGAAGACTCAGAGCTGTTGTCCAGTAATCAGTCCAAAATCTCCTCTGCCATGTAAAGATACACATACCAGAGGGATACTCAAAAAGGTGAAGAGGCAGTGACCCTTTCAGAAAGAGTCAGGAATGCCACCAGCACTGGAAAAGCAACCAGTATCTATAATTTTACTCTTTGAGAATATTTTGCCGCCTTCTTCTTCCATACAATTAAATTTACTATGGTGAATTGGCATGCAAAATTGCCCTCTTCATATACATTGTTGTTAAATTATAATTAGTACTAACATATTGTACTTAGAGCATTTACTATGCTTGATGGTTCCATCAACATAACCTTATTGTAATCTATAGCAGTAAAGATAACAATTAAAATGGTATTACTCAATTTTAAACAGCCACTGACAAGTTCTACCCACATTTACAAGCATCGTTTCACTTATGTTTAGCCACATCCATAAACACTATTAATAATTCCATACAGGCTTTTTGTGCTGTTTTCTCTGTGCATAGAGAGAAGCAGGAGGAGCCTGCCCACACTTTGGGCAGGACCGGGAGGCAGAGGGTCCAGGGCCGTGAGGGGGTACCTGCCTCTCATGGAGCAAAGACAGGGGGCTGCTGAGAGCCCAGGAAAACTTCTGCCAACAGTTTCATCACCACTGGAAATGCCCCATATCACTCAATAGGATTTGGGATCCTAAGTCCTTTAGCCCCTCTGCAAATCCTGGTTTATTGCCCAGGAGGGATGTGCTGACCACACTGGCCGAGGTGGGGAACGAGCAGGACATTGTGGAGCTCGAGGGCAAACGCTACCAATTGCATGATGAGCAGCACCCCAAACATCTTGACGTTCGGGAAGGGAAGAGCCTGCTCCTACACCACCCTGCTCCACTGTGGCCAAGGACAACTACAGGGACCTGAAAGCTGAGCGCAAACACCAACTGCAGTGTTCTTTTTTCTTTAAGGAAACCATGCAGGCTATGCCCTATCTGCCAGTTTGAAAGCTGAATTTGACCACGGAGGCTTTGAAGGGAGCCGTTATACTTGGTAAGCCTATCAGCATTTAAAGCTCATCCCATTAAAACCCACCATAAAATAATTGTAATATTAGCATTTCCCAAGCTATTGGAAGCAGCAGCACAAAACATGCTTGTGCAGTGGTGAACAGCTGGCAAGCATGAGCTTTTATGTGGTACCTGGCCAGATTTATGTCAGGAGGGTGGAATAAATGACAGACAGGTTTTGATGAACAATAAAAACATGGGCTATGGTTTGCAAATGCATTTCTGTGGCATTCCTGCATTTCCAATGAAGCTAAGGTTGGTATTGAAATTTTTCAGGGAAAGACTGAAGCCTCCTTTAGCCAGAATGGAAACTAGGAGAGATGCTTTAGGGGTCACTGGGAGGACCATACTGTGCAACAAACAACTTGGACGAGAGCACAAGCCTGAGATGTAGAACTCCAAGGGTTGCCAGCAACTACCACGGCCAAAGAAGGATTTATCCACTGGGGTCAAGCTTCTAACTAAATTATTTTATGGCCCACGTTGTCTAAAATGAGGTTCAATTTCAGATCCCTTGGCTTTTGGGTGCCAAGCTGGAGACGCTGTACCAGGGACTGCTTGGTACTGCTCAACCTCTCAGTTCCCAAAGTCATCAGAAGTTAGGTACTCCCTGGGGCCCAAGAAAGAGAGAAGTAATTCCTATGTTGGAATTATATCCAGTCACATGGACCTATTCCCCCTACACCATCTTAGAACCA